AGACCTAACCTAATATAACCTAACCTTAGACCCAGACCTAACCTAATATAACCTAACCTTTGGCCCAGACTGATGGTAATAACAGTAGCAAGGATAATAATTATAGTTCCAACGATAATAGTATCAGTAATATGGGGAATAATATAAGTTATATTGATAATAATAAGAGGGATAATGATAATAATAATAGTTCTGACTATTATAAGAAGAGTTATATGCTTAATAATATTGGTTTTATTGGTAATATTAAGAGTAAATAGGATTATTTTTATATTAAAAATGGATGACTACTCTTTATAATAGTTATAACAATAATAGAAGCAACAATATGGATAGTGATATAAGTTAAATTGATAATAATAAGAGCGATAAGTATAATAATTATAGTGTGAGCGGTAATTATTATAGTAATATGGGTAATATATAGGTTATATTGATTATAATAAGAGTAATAAGGATTATTTATATTAAAAATCGATTATTACTATTAATAATAATAATTATATGGGTAATAATATAGGTTATATTGATAATAATAAGAGTACTAAGAATAATACAGTTCCAGCGATGATAATTAGTCGTAATATTCGTAATAATATCGATAATAATCGGAATAATAAGGATAATGATGATAAAAGTAGTAATATGCGTAATCATATTGATAATTATAAAAGTAGTAAGGATAATTACAGTTCAAGCGATGATAATAGTCGTAATATGCGTAATAATATTGGTAATAACAAGAATAATAAGGATAATGATGATAAAAATAGTAATAAGCGTAATAACTTTGATAATAATAAGAATAATAAGGATAATGATGATGAAAGTAGTAATATGCGTAGAAATATTGATAATAATAAGAATAATAAGAATAATGATGATAAAAGTAGTAATATGCGTAGTAATATTGATAATAATAAGGATAATATGGATAATGATGATAAAGGTAGTAATATGCGTAATAATATTGATAATAATAAGGATAATAAGGATAATGATGATAAAGATAGTAACATGCGTAATAACTTTGATAATAATAAGAATAATAAGGATAATGATGATGAAAGTAGTAATATGCGTAGAAATATTGATAATAATAAGAATAATAAGAATAATGATGATAAAAGTAGTAATATGCGTAGAAATATTGATAATAATAAGAATAATAAGAATAATGATGATAAAAGTAGTAATATGCGTAGAAATATTGATAATAATAAGAATAATAAGAATAATGATGATAAAAGTAGTAATATGCGTAGAAATATTGATAATAATAAGAATAATAAGAATAATGATGATAAAAGTAGTAATATGCGTAGAAATATTGATAATAATAAGAATAATAAGAATAATGATGATAAAAGTAGTAATATGCGTAGAAATATTGATAATAATAAGAATAATAAGAATAATGATGATAAAAGTAGTAATATGCGTAGAAATATTGATAATAATAAGAATAATAAGAATAATGATGATAAAAGTAGTAATATGCGTAGAAATATTGATAATAATAAGAATAATAAGAATAATGATGATAAAAGTAGTAATATGCGTAGAAATATTGATAATAATAAGAATAATAAGAATAATGATGATAAAAGTAGTAATATGCGTAGAAATATTGATAATAATAAGAATAATAAGAATAATGATGATAAAAGTAGTAATATGCGTAGAAATATTGATAATAATAAGAATAATAAGAATAATGATGATAAAAGTAGTAATATGCGTAGAAATATTGATAATAATAAGAATAATAAGAATAATGATGATAAAAGTAGTAATATGCGTAGAAATATTGATAATAATAAGAATAATAAGAATAATGATGATAAAAGTAGTAATATGCGTAGAAATATTGATAATAATAAGAATAATAAGAATAATGATGATAAAAGTAGTAATATGCGTAGTAATATTGATAATAATAAGATTAGTATGAATAATTACAGTTCCAGCGATAATAATTGTCGTAATATGGGTAATAACATATGTTATATTGATAATAATAAGAGTAATAATAATAATAATAATAATAATAATAATAATAATAATAGTTCTATCCATAATTACAGTAGTAGTATGTGTAATAATAGGTTATACTGAACATAGGTTATATTGTCATAATATGACAAAAATAATTCGAAGGAATTTTGGGAATCTTGCTCTCCGTATTCTAAATTTCATATTTTCGCGCGCACTGGCTGCGAATGCACTTACGCTGTCTAGCGGTGGAACCCAGAAACTAATGAAACTACAGCAAAGATACAATTCATGGATTTATCAACATTTCCGAGTTATTAACACATTTAGAACATTCCAAAGCGAATTAGAATTGCTTCTTGAAGTAATTTGAGGTATATTAACGTGTATTAACCTGGAAAAACGATAAAAATTATTTTTCTACCGCATGCGCGGTAGAGCTAGAAATACGTCCCTTTTTCAAGATGGCGTCTCCCGGAGTAATTGAAATTGACGATAACAAATAATTAATTACTCATTTTCTAAGCACAATTCATGCATTTTTATGATTGCAAAATAATCCCTGAATTATTGTCTATTTTCTAACGCATTATTTTTGAAGATTTTATTTCAAAGGAATTAATTATTAATAAATATCAATACTAATAATTCTACTACGATATTTGATTAACTAATTCTGTATAAAGGTGTTAAAATAAATTTGACGAACATTTTGTGACCATGAAAGTGTGTAAATTATATTCAGAAAACGAGTAATTAATTAATTAATTCGTCATTACTTCGATGTATCTATGACGCCATATTGGATTGGTGGTGGGAGTCAGGTCCTACCGCGCATGCGCGAATTTGCGCGGGAACCTCCTGCCACCTCCGGATACCTCCTTGCTTTTCTGCGATCCTGCTACCAGGAGTAAGGTTTGGGAAACATCCGCTAGATGGCGCTGATCAAATTTTCAGTTTTACCGACAGATTTTTCGATACTTCGGACATCTTAACATGAATATGTATCCATCGAATCAATTTTTCTAAATTTATTAATTACATGCAAAACACTTTTAAAAACCTTATTTAAAAGTTATTACTATAATTTATTTTTAAATTAGATTAAGAAATAAATTATTTCTCTTTAGCTATTTTAACCAGGAGCCATTTTAATCCACGGATACCTCTTCTGTTCGTATACCTCCTCGCTTTTCTGCGATCCTGCTACCAGGAGCAGCTGGTGAACACCATGCGCTAGATGCTGCGGATCAATTTTTTAATTCTACCGCTAAATTTATCATAGTGAGATGTCTATTGTATATTATCGTATGCAAAGAATGAACGGATAAAAAAATAAAGGATTTAGAATAAAATAAAAATACGATTGAATCAACTTTTCTTTATTATCTAAAATTCTGAAGATTTACATAACAACAAACGATTGAAACGATCTCAGAGGATCGTTTACAATGTAACATTTTATTTATAATTTGGCGGACAATTTTCATCTATAGCTGCATTCTTTTTAAAGCGCGTCGTGTTTAATTATTTGACAAATTAGTCATTTAAAGTGTTCGATATAATCCTTTTCTTATTTATAAGAAGAATTTAGAAATATTAGATCTGAAAGTGATTGATATTTCAAAAGAACACAGCTTACGATAATTAATTTTTTCTTTTATTCATGCCTTTGTTCTTTAATAGTCTTCTACTCGGCATTAGGATATGTTTTATATTGCTATAATTAAGTGCTACAATTAAATTATGCACAGTCATTCAATGTCATTCAAACAGGCTCTTATTTTTTACAATAAATTACATTCAGATTAAACGTTAACTTACGTCAAAATTTTTATTTAAATATTTCTTTGGAACAAGATTTGATTTAGTACGAGTTTTAACGGATTTATAACTTGATGGCAAGCAAGAGTTGGGAAGAAATTGTTAAGTAACAACTGCCTTCTTCTCGTGTTTCATTAATGTTTCTTCCAAGTCTTATTTCGCTTGTAAGTCTCTTTTCCAAAGTTAAGTTTACATCTACGCATGTAAAACTATACATAAGCAATTAATATAATTGTGCGTGTGGTCCCTACTGATCCAAAAATATTTTCAATTTTATCCTGAAACTGCTGTTGTAGTGCAACCAATACGGCTACATAAATATTACAATTTATTTTTGGAATACAACTAAGGTATACTGCATTTTACAAAATGAAATTACTCAACTGCTTTGTACGAAGTTTCAGCGTAAACTATATATATATACATATAGTTTCGACTCTGGAATTAACTATTATACATTTAATTTGGTATCTATCAATCTAACTATCGCGATGAACTTGATTTCAATATCAAGAACATCTGATTCGAGGTAGTACAATCAAGATCTTCAACGTTGTATACGTTCAAATATATTTTAAACTCTTTCTTATATAAATTAGAAATCGTCAAAAAATTCATAGAGAATATATTCAAGTATGTTTGATTTTCAGCTTCCTTTGAAAGTACCATATGATAGTAATCATTTCTCACGTTTTACTAACACAAATGTATATAGTTTCAAATTGGAAAGTTTACATGGACATGAATAAACTCTAAATTTTGCGAGTTTTACTCTCAAGCGAGTGAGACACAAATAGTAAAACGTAAAGGATCTTAACAGCATCGTTAAAAGGCTGTGCTGGCCGTGGCCGTGACGCTTGATTGCACGCCGGATTCAGAACTTTGACGTCCGGCGTGTGGCTATAGCTACGTGGATGCAGCAAGACTTATGGACGTCGACTCGGTGACAGCTGCTCGTGGCTTCACGTCCAATGAATCGTACAAAGGGAATTCGCAGCAGAAGAGAAACTTGAGGAAATGTGGCACCTCTACGTAGATTGACGGCGGTATCGGTATCAAGGGCGATGTGGACTGTTTGTAGTAGCGATACTCTGCATTGCTGTAAAACGATCAAGCATTTAGAATCCCAGAAACGTGGCGATTATAGTAACTTGTAAGTCTGGAAAGTAGATACCAGGAAGTCCGTAAATACCTCAAAGCAGACACTTACTCGCGGTATCTCTCGTCGGAAGCTCTTTCCAATAGAGGCATTCCGGACAAGAATAGAATGATGAACGTCGTGAAGATCGGAGATGCTATAGCTACCCATTCGGCTCCTTCAATTACGTTCAATGATATCACAAAGATACCCCACCAGACTACGATCTCTCCAAAGTAATTCGGGTGTCTAGACAATCGCCACAGTCCTAACATAAAACACAAAAGGTCTATTAGCAAAGAACTAACATTTAGAACTATCTACAAGTGTTTGACCATACCATCGTTGCACCATTTGCCATTATTTACAGGATCTTGTTTGAAGGAGAATTTCTGGAGATCAGCATAGGTTTCAGCAAGCAACCCAGTCACAAATAGTCCAGTACCAGCACTGTCATATGGTGTCATAGTCTTGGGAGCAGGTGGAATTTTATGTCGTGGTGAATTGATGATGATCACTGGTAAACTCACCACGTACACCCATACAGCCTAAAAATATAATCACATTTCAGTACACAGATACTCATGACAATTAAACAATTTATTCTCATTACCTGAAATGTCCAAAATACTGCAAAACGAATTACATTACTGCGACGATCTTCGAACCTCTTATCACGTCCAATCTTAATAATCCGGTACAGCAGATATGCAGATAAACGAAAGCCCCATAGGCAAACAAATACTGTTACCATAAGTTGTCTGCTGTCATAAGGCTGAAAAACATATTTTAGATCAATAACCATATAAATGAAACTCTTAAATGTTCCGTTTTTAGTAGCCACAAAACTTTTGTAAACAAACGGATATACAGAAATAAATACTCGCAGTGGAAACAAATATTTTGTAGCTTTACAATGCAGAATTCTTATTACTAGGTTTCTGTGCACACTCTTTTGGTGTACGGACACAGTTTATAATTAGAATACCTTGCCCACTTGGCCGAGAAAGAAAGTGAGAAGGGCAAGAATGATGAAGTTTGTGCCGCCGGCAAAGTCCGTCAATTTGTCCAGTTGGAAGGTCGCTGCGATCGTGAAGAAGATAATTTGCATACCGACGGTGACGATCGCGCTCACCGCGAAGTGGTCCTCGTCCAAAATATCGACCGCCATTGATCCTCGTTGATTACCCGCCCCTCCGCTCGATGAACTATTTACGAATCTGGAATCGTTAATTAAGCCGTTAATATTGCTAACGAACGTGAATTTATAATCACTCTTAAAACAAAAATTTTCTTATTTTCGATGATCACTGTTTGCTAATGAACTAGGTCAAATTTTGCAATTTGTCAGGAGGGAAGTTTACGCGGGTAACCTCAATTTCAAATTGTAGGTAGTCGGATATTTACAAATTTTTAAATTTCGAAATGTGAAAATGAGATTTTGAAAATTTGAGAATTTGGAATTTCAGAAGTTTGGGATTCAGAGATTTTGAAAATTTGAGAATTTGGAATTTAGAGAATTTGGAATTTTAGGATTTTGGAATTTAGAGATTTTGGAAATTTGAGAATTTGGAATTTTAGGATTTTGGAATTAGAAATTTTGAAAATTTGGGAATTCAGAATTTTAGGATTTTGGAATTAGGAAATTTTGAAAATTTGAGAATTCAGAATTTTAGGATTTGGAAATGTACAAATTTGAAAATTTTTAAATTACTAATGTCAAATATCCTAAATTCGAAGAAATAATTATTTAAATTTATTTCTCTTTCAATTTGTCCGACAAATTCCATAAGATAGTTTGAATGTGTACTTTAAATTTCAGTGTTTATTCTCCAAGTAATACGTGCCCACTATAGAAAATATTTGCTATGCCAGTACATGCAGTCTTAACAATACCATAGGTGTATTAATACTGAAACTTGACACTTGATATTTTTATGGTTCTATTTTATTTCATGTATAACCAGCATGTTGATACTTTCCGTTTATCGATTATGCTGTGTCTTGTACACAGCACAGTAGCATGTATTAAATAAGAATATACATATCGAAATAATAATGGTACTTTTTAATAAAACTCTACTTCCTTACGTTAAGAATTAAATAAATCGCATATATAGCTTTCAATTTAAATATAAATTAAAACTGTATATTATATACGTTTACTACATTAAAAAAATTATAAACAATATTTGTCGTTTGAAAATAAAAATTATTCTTATGCTTTTATTATTGTGCACTTTTTAACTCTCGTAAGTAGATTTTAATCAATCTTATCGCATTTAACTTGTTTCCGCGACGCTTCGCGTCGCAATGCAGTTCGCATAATTCATTAATCTCACATAAGATAGAAAATCATTGAAAATCACATTTACCTTCATTGTCGATAACCACGATACTCGAACTACCTTTTATTTTCATGTACCACGATAAAAAAATATAATTTCAGTCATCAAAATTTAAAAAAAAAAACAAAAGTTCCGTACTCACCGTGTCTTGAAACTCGCGATACGAAATTTTTGCATTGTACAACCATGAGTTGAATTTTCAAAATCTTCAAATCTTCCGAACAATAGGAAAGCGAACGATTACTTAAAACATCAATCAATCAAACTACCCAGTTCACTACTGTTATTTTGTAACCATTACAAACTGTTATCATTCTTCAATATTAACAACCATAAGAATGTCAGCACTGTTCACAAATTTAATTCGTCAATAAAAATATTCATCGTTAATTATAAATTTTTTAACTGTATATAGAAAATGATTGCACGAATGAAAGGTATATTAATCACTGTAAGTATGAATGAAAATATTGAAGAAATTTGAAGGAGAATCGTCGGTACGCGGAGACACCCTGTCTGTGGCTAGAAAACCGCCTGAAGTAGTCGAAGTGTAATGTATACTGGTTAAGAAGTAACGACGATTTACCTCGAAAGAGAGGAGTCTCATTGCAGCAACTGACAATACGGGTGGACTTGCTCGACGTTCCACCCGCGACGACACGCAGTGGCAGGACTACGAGGGGATTCAATGTCGTGTCTAAAACGAGAAGAGAAACCCATGATCACGTGCTACGAGGTCGAACTGTGAGCGTATCGTTGTATAGCTCAAGGCATTGCAACCTTATTCTCAGGAAAATGGCGACGTAAGAGTAGGGATAGCAATTTGGTATAAATAATATTTTTCTCAAAGAAAATATTGATACAAAGAAAGAAGAGGTCAAAAAAATTTACACATTTCCAAATTTTCAAGTTTCTAAATTTCTATACTTGACAATTTCTAAAATCACAAATTCTCAGATTTTCAAAATGATACATTTCCAAAATTCTAAGCGCCTAAATTTTATATTTCCAAAATTCTAAGTGCTTCAGTTTCTAAATTTTTTAAATCCAAAATTCCCAAAATTCCAAATATTCAAATCTCCACACTTTCCAATTCCACAACTTCTAATTTTGAGAATGTTCCAAATTATCAAATTTAAAAATTCTTAAAATTGCAATTCTACAAAGTATTCTATGCAAGCTCACCATTTTTGCAAGAGGAGTGCACTATGCTCGATGCTGTACAGACGCCTTCTAGCTCTGTCCTTTTCTATCGCATTAGGTGTCTCCCTCTAGTCGGTAGTCTATGGTGTCTACCTATTGAGTTTCTTGATTCAGATACTGATTATCACCTGAAGCAAGGTCTCCCGAGAATTATTAGCTTTTATGCGTTTCTTTAGCGTTGATGTATACTGTATTTAAGTACATACACTTAACATTGAACATTTGAAATACTTATTTCTAATATAACAAAATATTAATAACGTACCAAAACTTTTCTATTTACATATTCATATTATATTTATAATTAATTGATATTTGTACAAATATGCGAGTTTGAAAAAATTGTATTGGTAATATCTTAGTAAGGGAATGTTTTGCTGTTTTCACAATGAAGCGATTGTTTACGCTGTTTAATTTATCCGGATTAATTCCTTTTCGGAGAGCGCCGCAAGCTGCGCGCATTCAGAATGAAATCAATACGTATACACGACAGCAAATGAGTTTCCAGTTAAATGAAACATGGCGCATTACAAAATCGCTTTTTGCTCGCATTGTAGTGAAGAAGACAATGAATTTGAAAGATCTTTTAGGGACATTGAAGTTGATCTCTTCGGGAATCTCGCGCAAAGAAATGAACATGAAAAGAATCAGTTTCATACCTTGATACATCTAATTGGACAAAGAATAATTTATTTTAATATTGTACATGTATATCATCGTAATAGTAACTTTACAAACAATAACCAGTATATGATCAACAATACTGAACGACAATCAGTACCGTGTCGATCGCTTATTATGCACAAATACAATTTTTTTCAAGATATCTTTTTACAAATGTTATAAAATTCAGTTCCATGAAAGTAAACGATTACAATGGTAATATTTATGATCGCGCATTAAATTTCTGTTTTGTTTCGCGATAAAAAGTGCATTGTTCAAGAGATCCATCTTATGAAAATGCAATGTACGACGAGCAGGGCTCGGATTTCCTTAAATCAATTAAGAAACCATATTAAAAATATACATAGTAAGCCTTCTTGATATCCACATTCCTTCTGAGTATGACTGGCTTAAGTTTTTTAAATCTGTTCTTAGTTATTCCACATTTTCCTCTTTCATCGCACCAATTCTTTAGATATATTTGTAAACCACATTCAATTTTAAGATCTAGTGTATTTGCCCCAGATGTGAAGCATGAACACAGATGCAATGAAGAGCAGGGACATCACGAGCACCGGTACTGGTCCTCTGTAAACATATTGTGTTATCAATAAAATATTTTTAACTTTGATTATTCGAATTTGTACTTTATGGATAGAAAATATTTAGCATTAAACTCTAATTCATTAACAGTAATACAATAGAAGCTACAAGCCTTTGTGTATGTAACATTTTTTTTCCAAAACAATGTTGTATTTACTTACACTTTAATGCCAGGGGAGTCATCTGTGTAAAACCTCCACATACCATCAGAGCCAGCACCTGTATTTCTACTTCTGGTTGAAGTAGTTGTGGCAGTTTTCCTTTGCCTGACAGTACCGCTACCGCTTGTTCTAGGTGCTATGGCTTTGCTTGGTGATCTCCCCGCGGCTCCGACCGAAGTTGCACTAGGTGCGGCAGGCTTATAAAAACAAACAAAATATAACCATAAATATCGAGAAAATTTTTTTCTATTCCAGATTCTACTAAATTACTTACCATTGTATATTTTTAATTTAAAATCTTGAACAAGTACCAGATGATCACAACAAATTTGCTGTACAATAACCTGTTGTTTCTTCTGAATTGTATTTAATAAAGATCTTGAATTACTTTACTTTTTAACCGTATGTATAATTATACGAGTATAATTAACACGTCCGAAATATTCAAGTAAAATCACTGTTTGAAGTCGCGTTACGTTCTGATAACGTGTTCCTTCAAATTACTTTAAACGTTTACTGGCAGTAGGAGGTAGAAGAGTAGCTAACGACGTGTCACACATACACCATCCACGTAGAGAGTTCTAGACACGTCACCACGCGTCAGCGTCACATCATTATGGCGCGTTTTCAAGCGAGATTTAAATGAATAAAGCAATATTATAATAATATATTTATAATTTCACTTATATGAATTAAGTAAGATAAAAGATAAATAATTACTTATTGATAGTAATAAATTAAATATATTTTATTAAAAAATATACAGCAAATAAAATGGCCTTTACTACATTGTTTGGGCATCATATGATTGAGCAACTATCTGTTAATCACTTAACAAATTAACTATTTAATAACAAAATTATATTGCGAGTTAAAAATTACAAAAGGAATTTTTAATTACAATTTCTCTGCTTTTTATTCTTTGAAATATTAAATAAGAGTTACATGCAAATACATAAAACTTTGTATAGGATGTTGTAGGACGTTTATTTACTATTAAATAATAAACAATAGATATCTTTTTTCATATTTCTCTATATTAATCATCTTTTTTGGTAATAAATAACATGATATTTATCTTAGTTGATCGAACTAATGCATATAATTTGTCACACCAGGATTCTATACAAAAATCTTATAATACTAGGGTGCATGCATATTGATTGCACACGTAATAATTTACAGTTTACAATTTTGTTTAAATTCCTTCCTGTTAGTAGACTAGTTATAAAATTATGACAACATATTATACTATGCCTTATGAACTGGTTTGACATTTTTGCCGTGATTGTATTTAAAACTTCAGGATATGAAAGAAAGTTATATGTATTACAGGAACTGTTCCTTTTGTTTCACTTATGATACTTATAGAACCAATTTACGGAAGATAAAATACAAATTTGTTTTTCTTATTTGTAAGAACATGTATAAATGCATTGAAACGTTCAGTACTGGGTAAAGTTAAAAGTTACAAAATACAAAATTTAATACTTCTGTTGGTCTTAAAGTGAACAGTCTCAATGATTTTCATTTTAGTTTAATAAAACTTGTTCTCAAATGCACTTAAATGCAGTAGTTCAATGTATCTTAATACTTATTCGCATAAATTATGTATACCCTAGGTGTATACTTGTTAAAAGTATTGAAACAATGTTTATTGTATAACTGTTTTAATAGATAAAGAATACTTTAAATGTGTAAATTCGAAATATTTTGTATAAATCTTATGATAGTGTACTGATATACTAGAAATACAAAATTTTGTAAAAAGTATGTTGTGTATCTAAACTAGTGTAACTTCATTATGCTTTGGCATTTTTGTTATATTTTACAATGTAGAAATACTTAAAGCATTAAAATATCATAACTTTTATCCATACAACTATTTCTTTGATTGAAATTGATCAAAATTTGTTCTTCATTTAAATAGATTTGCTTATGGAACTTTTTTGTATATAAATATATACACAATGACGAGAAATATTCATATGGATTCCACGTAGCAGCTACTGTTTGGCACAAGAAATATAGATGAAAATTTTGATATACAACAAACATTAGATAGCATGATTTTCACACGTAAATACGTAAATTATGTTTTTCAAGCACAATTACACACAATAATGTGTTATTAGTTATCACGAGTTATTAAAAAACACTTACATACTGTTATCCTTATCAACAACAATAATGAATCGTAACAGGGCTTTTATACATATATATCAAACTACCGTTTTAATATCTTATGTCTACTGTAACGAGAGATAATCATTATGTTCCCAAAGTAAATGTAAATGTTATTGAACATGCACGAATTAACATCGTGTCCCTATCTCAAATGAAGTTTTTGACACCTGTTACTGATACAATTATAAAATAAAAAATAAAATATTAAGAATTTTATCAGTTTGCATTTATAAAGTTAACTGAAGAATACTTTACTATTGATCATAATCTAATTTGATATTTGGTAGACACGTAGTTAGAATAAATTGACTTTGTTAACGTATAGGATGAAATAAATACTTTCCTTAGACCAAATAGATACTTCATTTGGTAATTAAGTACTGGTTACTCCTTTACGGGCTACTAATAGATTTAATACTGGATGTTTCCTTATATACGATACTGCTTTCTTATGAGTTACCATCGTAAAGTCATATCCATTGCATTGTAAAATTTTATCATGCATCCGGAGACCACTTTTTGCTGCTGCTGATCCCTCATGTACTTCAGTAACATATATGCCCTAAAACAATTTGTATAAATAACCTGCAAATATATACAATGCTTATATCACATTAACTTACATTATCCGTATAACCCTGTGGACTTTTCCTGAAATCTTGATCAATTCCACCTCCTATTTTAAAACCACATTTCATTACTTCTTCACCATTTTCATCGACTTCTGTTTCCTTGTGCAAAGTAATCGGTATCTAAAATTATAATATTCATGGTACTAAATAATTATAGGATTGCTAAATTAAATCTGGAATAATATGCAGTTATTAATAAGAACTTTTTATAGGTATGACGTTATTAGAAATTATAGAAAAATGATATTATCACATAGCATGCTCCAAAGAAACGAAACGATTGTTGATATAACGCCCAGTTTTAGAATTAATTTACTATAAGATATACGTACACTTAAGCATTTCATAGCAGTACCAGCCTGATGCTGAAAAGCCATTTTCGCGCACATAATGCTCAATCTTGTGCCTTCAAAGAGTTTAGATTGACAATTACTTCCGATGATTCAACGTGACCACCAATTGTGCACGAACTGCATACACTGATTTCAGACGAAACGATTCAATAAGTGAACTTAGAAATATCTTACGATATTTGATATCGAGTAATTGCATAAATCTCTGTTCACTTTAAATATGTAATTATCTTGTAACGTCGGTAAATTCGGTTAATTTAGTGTTCCCAAGGGCAATTAAAACAATTTTGTTCTCACGTTGACAGCCATGCGTACTAGTAAACATAGATAGGAAAGTTGCAATAGAATGTATTATAAAAACCACAGTGGCGTTGCGTAATAACAGACCCGCGAAAATTAAAATTTTGTGAATTGATACTTGATCAGCACTTGTAATATAAAGCATTATAGACTTATACATGTAACAGTGAACGAGATAAGATCTTGTAGTCAGGTTGACTGAATATTAAGAATATTTTATATTACGAATAGTTATGAATTCTGAGTGTTGTAGATTTCTATTTTATCGCTGGGAGAAAAACTTGGTCCAGATAGTACTATACTTGATCGATAGATGGCTTCATTGTTAGCTCAATATAATTTAAAAAAATTTTTTATTCTTCTGCATTACTGAATTGTATTGAAATTATAGAATATTTTACTTTCATCTAAGGAGGCAAGAGTGAGGCATTTTTGTAAAAATAGCGATTTTCTGTTTTGTTTTTATTGCTGAGTGGTAGATGGTGCCAATAGTATCATTTGAAGGGTTTTTATATAAATTTGTAAGAAAGAAGAAATGAAGCCTCTAGTTTACTAACTGAATTAGTTTGCAAAATTATGTCTTTTATTATTGTACTAGGTCGGGGATATGGTTTTTAACCCGTACACGCGTTAAGGAAAAATATAAAAAGAAATATTTCGCAACTTTGACGACGTAGTATGCTTCCTTAGACATTTTAAAGCAATTTTTGTTGAATAAGTTATTCATTTTTCTGCCTATTAAGCCCAGAAAATCAATTTTTATTTGACCCCTTTACTGCATGTTCGGATATACATTTTTTCAGTTTAGTTCGCAGTTTCGCCGCTAGATGGACGCCAATTTTTTAGTCCATAAATTGCATTATTTTTATATGCAATACTTTGTAGTTTTATATCTTTTAAAAAATTCTTTTTTCTATGTCCATCTGGATGTACATACGCATGTGCGTGCAAAATATGATGAAAATTGGTTGAATGGTACAAAAGAAAAACGCGGACAAAGAAGTTGCAAAGTCAAGTATAAGATCTTCGCTCGCTTTCGTCTCGCTCGCTCAATAACTTAAATGAAACATATAAACAAATATATAGGGTAGCACATTTAAAAATTCTATTAATTTCAAGATTAAAATAAAGATTCCTTAAAGTATTCAATCGAAATGATTAAACCTAATGTGTTCCTGTTTATTACTGTTTTATTATTAGATAAAAAATTGGGCCACGGTATAATTTGATGACGAGTAATCAATACGTATTTTTCTCAAGAATCGCAAGTCGAAATTCCGATTTGTTTGATTCTTCAATTCGACGTGGCAAACATTTGATTTACCGGCAAAGTGGGAAAAACGAAGGCGAACTGTCGAAACCGTGATTCTAGCTTTAACTAAGAAAGCCGATAGCGTATAATAGAGACGATTCGGCAGCTTTATCACTCGATAACAGGATAGTATCCTTCCATTTCCGTGCCCGCCTCTACCGTGTCTCGGGCATCGAATCGTGGCACGTACGCGGACATAAATCTGACAGTCGTAGATATCTATGAACAAAAGTGGAGCCACTTACATGCGCGTAAAGTAAAATTTATGGAAGGTGTGGGAATATAAATGCGCGACGTATCATAAATTTTAGTGTCGGACGGTTGAAGAGAGAGAGGGGAAAGGAGAAGAAGAAGCAGAAGAAGAAGAAGAAGAGGAGGGCCACCCCTTTAGCTCGAAGGTACAAACGATATTGTTCGGGGCATTCGCGGGTACCGGATTCGTCCTCCTCGAATTCTCAAGAGGAAACAACAATTTATTTTGTCGAGACCATGGAAATACCCGGAGGACCAGCCGCAAATCACTGCCTGCACGTTGCTTCACCATAGAATTTCTCCAACTCGTTCCATTTCGCTCTTCCACCTTGTATCTTCGAATCTGTCTCTCTTCTTCCCGCTACTTCGACCCTTCGCATACCTCGTTCACCATTTTTCCCTTTTCCGCAGCTTCTTTGTTATTTTTCAGACCGTAAATGGAGATCGGATATTGTTTCCGCTATTAATCGGCTCGTCACGCTGCGAACGTGCAGAGTACACGGAAAATAGCCCGTTTAATATTTCCTCGTCGGATATTGTAGCTCGCGTCGACGGTGGCATTAACCCACCCTCTTATCTACGAATTTACTTTCATAAATACTCTACTGCAAATTACGTATTTTAATGTTACCAATTATTACCTACATTTACTTCATTTCTTGTCAAATCAAATTCGTTTATTAAATGTAATTGTCTCTCATCTGGAAGAGATGTTGTTTTTTAAAGAGAATTCACGCGTGGAAGTAGAATATCAAAATCTCTATATAGAAGACTACAAATTCTTCCAGCTTCAAAAGTAACAAAATTTCAACAATTTTTATGTTCTTAAATTTTTGTACTCCCGAATCTCTAAATTTTTAAACCACCAAACAACTCCCAACTATAAAAGTTCCCAGTTCGTGAACGCGTTTCTCCCACATTTCCTATTCTCAGTCTCAATTTTTCTCTCGCGAAAGTTAAATGGTATCAGTTACTTATGACCGAAAAAAAAAGAACGTTGATCCGAGACGCAGAGCACGGAGGTCCAGTTAACGAAGTAGTCTCGGCTTTCTGGCGACGCGTTCAACCCAGCCAAAGGTAAATTGAAATTGGATGCAGTGACGCGAATTATTATAATCCCGGGGCTGGCATGGAAGCCCGCCGGCGTTTTTCCCGGTCGTCTCTTCTCTCCTGGTGCATTCTGGACTATATAAAATTCGTGGATTCCTCTGGCTATCGTCTCGCCAGCCATCATCCACTCGCACACTCGACTGATCAAAAGTTTCCTTCCAAATACGTGTGTCCGTTTCCTCGTCTGTTACGAATTGAGAAATATCAACGTTTCGGTCTAACATCTAAATTAGAAGCGTTCCTCTGAACATTCGGGTCTCGTAGCGGTGAAATAACGAGAGATCGAAGATGTTTCGGACGCTGTAAAGTTTAGCGATAGTTTGCAAATGTCATACTTAAAGTTCTCGTTAACAGAGCAGCATTTTTCAAATTTCCATCACGATATCAAAAGTTGCCAACTTTCTCGGGTTATTCGAGCAGACCTAAATACCTTGCAGCTGAAGCTCAACTTAATTATGCATTCGGCATACTTCCGTCGGTGTATACCTGCATTTTCTACCTAGTCTCCTTTCTAATTAAACAAACTTCCTTCCCTTCTACGGTTTGCTACGTGATCTTTTTCGCAGTTGTTTGCTTTTCCTGATCTTCTGTTTATACGGAAGATAATTGTATGTATAATTATTCTGTAACAATGTATTTACAGAAGGTATCTTCGTTGAAGGAACATCGAATGAATGAATTAATATGCATGTTATTAGGAGAATACTTCAAATTTCCATCAAGTTAAAATATATTTTTCTATTACAAGAAGGAATACTTCAAATTTCCATCAAGTTGCAGTATATTTTTATAAGACGATTTTTAATCTTGGACGGTTTATTTTCCACGTTGGGAGAATAGCAAATGGGGTCGCGTTAAACGGGGCACACTCTGTAACCATGAGAAGATGGTTTTCCATCAATCGGTCAATATGGACCAGAGATTCAAGCGTGCTTTCTATTGGCCTCTCGTTATTCGAGCAGCGTGTCGAACTTCAGTGATCCGCGTAACCATGTTGCCAAAACGTGTGTGTACTCCCACAGGAAGCCGATATCGGCCAGGATATACGAGAACACGCTGCTTCTACTGCGTACACATCCTGTGTATCCTAGGGAAGTTTCAGGAGGATAACTTGCCGATGCATCGATCCTTTGGATTAGACGTGCGCTCGCAACTTCTTGCAATTAACGTGTTGATGACCAGCCAACAGATTAGCAGCCACAAATAATATCATATTTACCTATATAATTTAAAATCGCTCTTCACAATTTTCAATTACAATTATAATACAATTCTTGTTAACTACTTTTTACTCTTCGTGGTGTAATTGGAAAGGGGTGGTTGTTATTTGTCTGGCCACAAACGAATTCTCTTGTAATATTTAGATATTTGAGATAATATTCGAGGTTCATTTTTTGAAGACAATTTTGAAATACAATTGTAGTATAATTTTTATCAATTACTTTTTATTCTTTGTGGTACAACCGCAAAAGGGTGGCTGTTGTTTTTCTTATCGCAAAAAATTTTTATATAATATTTAGATGTTTGAAATAATTTTGAGGTTCATTTTTTTGAAGACAATTTTGAATTACAATTACAGTATAATTTTTATCAATTATTCTTTATTCTTTGTGGTACAACCGCAAGAGGGTGGCTGTTGTTTTTCTTGTCACAAACAAATTTTCTTGTAATATTTAGATGTTTGAAATAATATTTGAGGTTCATTTTTTGAAGACATATAAACAAGTTTTATCCAATATTATTTTCATGTAGAATGGCAGAAGTTTCGCGTAGAAACCTTTATGCAGAGTAACTCTTTTCAGTTGCACACAGAATTCGAGAACAAGCAGCAAACTGCATCGTACAATGGAACCATATGTATCAGATTCGAGTTTCATCCAAGGTGAATCGCAATTTTGAAAAGAAACAACCGGAAATAGGTTCGAGACAGGAAGTCTATAAGCCGAGACGCGATCATGCGTAAACGTCATTGGAGGCTTGGCCCGAAGAGGGTGTTTAACTCCGTTCAGCCGTGTAATCGCATTGACTCGATGCACGTGCGATGCATTATGAATGTAAGGAGTCGATAGTTGCACTACGCGAATCTTCTGAACGACAGGAAACACCATTCGGCGAGGTGCATGCAAATTTTCTCGACCTCGACGATTCTGGCGACACGCAATTTAGTGCACACGTATCTTGAAAGCGTTACGTATCTTGCATGGCGTTTAATTTGAGTTATGGGGTAAATACGAGACGTTCGTTATCGTTGCTAACCGGGAAACTTATGGACGATTATATTCATATCGTTACTACTTTAGGGTCCTTGATATTTGCTGATAATACTGAAACATTAATATTATTCGTGTTT